GAGATCCAAAGGTGGTTGAGCGAAGTGTTGTATTCGATCGTAACGGTGTTTACATGAAAGTAATAAAAATAACGTTTAAACGATGTTTTTAACGAAAGATTTTATAGAGGATATCATTTAATGAAAATGACGATTTTTAATAAAAAATTTTTGATTTTTCCTCTCTTCCATCTTTAATTTTAATTCTTTGTTAACACTATTAAGCGTTTGATTAATGTTTTAGGAAATATAATGTGTAAAGTGATAGAGACGGATCTAATTTATTTAAAAATAATTATTCGATAAGTATTTTAATTGTGAAGTAACGCCCTTTCAATTTCAATTAAAAGGATACGAAGTAAGGGGAATATTTGGAAAAATAATATTTAATTTAATCATTAATCATACAATTCATTATTTGAGAAAATAACATTTATCTTTTAATGGAAAACTCTCCTCGGAATTAACTTTTGGAATATATATTGGAACGAAATGTAAAATATAATTAATAATCAAGTAATAATAACGTTAGTTAATTAACAATAATAATATAAACATGAGATTTCACGAAATATTTTTTGTCGTTTCAAAATATTGTTTCAAATAATTTTAAAATAATATATTATATCAAAATTCCTTGAAACTGTCCAACATTAAATGTTATTAAAAAAGAAATGGTAGAATTTATTTATTGTATAGTGAGCGAATTTGAGGTGTAGAAACGAAGAGAATGAAACTGTGAAAACAAAAAACGTATTTAAGTAGTATAAACGATAATAATGCAAACACTCAAAGTTTTAGATAGATGTGCTTCAAATTGTATCTTGTAAAAATACTGCATCGTGTGAATAAGAGATAGAGAAATAAAAGAGGAGGAGGAAAAAGGAAAGAACGTTATTTGCGTTGATAAATGGTAATTGAAGTTTTATCAGCATCCAGTTTTAAAGTTAGTAGCTGTCAATAGAGAGAGCAGTATATTGAAGTCAGACTTTTATAAAGAGAGAGATAGCTTTCTAGTTTGGAGAAGCGTTTTATTGCATAAAGCTAGAGTTATAATTTAGTTAAAATCGTATTACTCTATCATCGTGAGTCGTTAGTACATTGTTAAACAATTATTATTCCTTTGAGATTTTAACAAGAGTCAAAACTTGTTCATAACGTCTCTATGAGTGCTATATATTTACATAAAATATGAATCTTTGTTTTATAAGTGGGTATTTCTTCTATTTCTAAATTCTTTAATTTTTTAACTGATTAACGTGAATGATATAATATCGAATCTAATTTTTTCTTGGCAATGATATTCGGCTACTCGAAAATATCTAATATTCTTCAACTAGTTTCAAATTGTTCGCGCTCGAATAGATTTTAAATATCCAAAAAGATAAAAATTTATCGAGGATTAATTTTAGATAGAGACTATTTAATCAAAATCAAACTGAAAAACAACGTGAATTTATAAACTTGTAAATGTACATATATAATAACAATTTGAACAAATGAAAAAATTTTCATTTCAAACAAAGACAGAAATTAATACGAAAAAACGTTTGTTGAAGCTTATTCTTCAAGTTGTAAACAATTTAATCCCGCATATATGAGGTGAGAATGCGAGATATCTTTCTCCTCGTTTTGCTTCATCTAGTAAAATTAAATTGCTTGCAACAAGAAAAAACAAGTTTTTTTCAACGAACACTTTTGCACAAATATATATATACATAAATATCCAAAAATAAACATCTTACATTTCCCCTTTCTCTCTCGTTAATCCTCCTAAATTTTCAAAACTGATTTTGTCACAAAAATATAATAAAATATACGCGGATACCCAGAAAAGAGTATTTCGTTTCAACCGCACAAAAATTGACATCCCTAAAAACCGCGCGTGGCGAAACGTTAACGAAACGCCGCGATAAAAAGTTCAAACAAACACGAAACAATTTAACGAACGAGACTCGCCTATACCGGCAAGGGAAAAAAAAAAAAAGAAAAAAAGAAATTGTTGAGACAAGCTCTATAAATGCTCCCGATACACCCAACTTCTCCTCCCCCTCCAAGTATAATTTTTATACCCCCCGTTCACAATGCTGAAAGCTTCCGCTTTGCATAATATCCCTGACGAAAGGCGATTATACATGGCGGTGTATATCGCGGGCTAAAGACTTCCACCCCTAAAGACCATTACGAATGATGAATGATCCGTGGCCGTTAGGTGTAGGGTTTAGCAACGTTCCAATGAATTATCGTTCAATTTCCACCTGTCACGGGGCAACAATATCACTTTCGAAAAAACTCGATCGCCCGATAAAAGTGAACCGGGTCACGGGTAAAAAAAAAAAAAAAAAAGAGAGAGAAATAATTATTTCGTTTCCACTTTAGGGTAATTTTCATTCCTCCTTCCTTTCCCCTTAATTTGCATCTCTCTGGATCGGGTAGAACTAGCCAACCCCTTCCCCTCCCCCTCGATTCGACGTTGTCACGTCTCGTTGTCAGGAAGCAGAGCTCTTGTGATAATCTCGATGACAAAGATGATGATGATGATAATTGCGTTTGCAGGGTTATCTCTTTGGTTTTGTTCATGTAGAGGGGGAGGGGGAGAGTTTTGTTCGAGATTTAATTGTTTCAACGTGTGAGGGGGGGAAAAAAAATATCGAACGCGAGCTAACCCGCAACCCTGGTTAATGCGAGCTCCTCCAACGCCATTTTCTACGCCCCGCGTGATTTACAATGGGAGGGGAGGGGGACAAACAGTTTTGACCCGAGATTTATTACTTGCCTCCGTTTAATCGGGCTAATTTGCACCGGATTCAATGGAATTTTTCTGTTTCGAATATGTGGATTTTGGATTTTTTTTTTTTTTTTTTTGAAAGAATAGGAGTGAATTGGAATTGGGAAGTATTGGGAAGTGAGGTGAGATTTAATTTCGCGTTATTTTAAAAGTATTTACAAGTGCACGCAAAAAAAATTGTCATTTCTTTTTTTTTTTTTTTTCATGACTAGTATACCCGTCAAACGTAGGTAGTTTTCAGAGAATCCTGTTTCACCGATGACAGATATCGAAATTGTCAATACAAACATGAACTAATAATAGAGAAATATCGTGAGTAGCATGGTTCCAATATAAAAAAAAAAATAGTTGCAATTTTATCAATATCGGGAAACAAAAAACATTTCACGAATTTTTTTATTTTTTATTTTTTATTCCAGTAGCGATATCAAAAATGGTATCATCCTTTATACGGAATATAACCACAGTGCTGAAAGTCAAAATTAATTCAGTCGGGAAGTACCTGAACATATTTTTAATAACAAATGTTAAAAACAAGAAATTCTAGAAATTCTCGATTATTTGACCGAGTTTGATACTTTCAACTCGTAATAAATTCCAAAATTATAGTCGGAATGAAATATTATTCGCGTAGTCGAATTTGTACAAAAACTTACTACTAAAATATGCGCATGATGTGCAACAAAGAAAAACAAACGTAATATTCGTATTTCGTATATTTAAGGAATAAGGATAAAAGCTCCGTTTCTTCGATTCATAAATATATAATTATAATATTATAATTAAAATATAATAAAATATTATAATATTATATATTCGATATATAAATTATTATATATCCATCGATTGTTATTGAAATTAATTATATATAGAAATATTCGATGGAACGAAAAAAGAGGATAGGAAACGAGCGCGTGCAAAAGATACTACTTGATGATGACAGGACACGATTTAAGAAATGGATCGAGATGTTGGTAAATTCGGTCGATTCATCTCGCATGATCGTTTTAACGAACGGTTCCACTCGATGGCGAGCCAATTTCCCCCCCTCTAGGTTATTCCCTTACCCGCATAACCACAATTCACGTACCAGCACCGCGTTCCATTATAATACAGACGTCTATACGTTCTAACTTTCGTCAAATCTCACGAGCCATCGAGTTTAAGCGGCTTTGCCATTACTCTAAATTAGTAGTAGTGAGAATCGCCTATTGTCGCGGAATTTTATCAAAATGGCCCCCGTAATATCATTACTTCGCTGTGTTTCTGTACCGTCCTCTTCGTTCTTGAGTTTTATTATATATATAAAAAGGAGAAATAGACGGAATATAAAGATACGTACGAGATGTATTTTTACGTTTTATTTTTCGGTGGAAAGTATAGTCTCGGAGTGGTAAATAAATAGAGAGATTCGAACGAGAATGTTTGAAGAAAGTATATAAACGTTATGGATAATTATTAAAGAAAAGCAGAAATATTATTTTTCTAAATAAAAAGAGGAGGATAACGAGGAAGCAAAATCTTATTTGAACGTATATAATTAATGAACGTGAAAATAGAAATGTTGAAATGTGACAAAATATTAAATAGGAATGATATTTATTCCTTTATGAATTCACAGCAATTAATATTTCTTCCAGAATTTTCGCTGGAAAATATCGTAGTATTTTCTTTCGAATTTCCTTTTTTTTTTTTTTTAAATATATTTTCTCTCGTAATAAACAAGAATTTAAATTATTTCTTTTTTTTTTTATTTACACTAATTTAATATTCCCACGTTGTCTCGCAACATTTTAAATTCGAAAAATTACAATATTTAATAAATTTCCGAGGAGAAAGAATTTTTTGGGATAATATTAAAAGAAGAAAAAGGAATAATTTTTGTGAATAGAACAGAGAATATGAAAAAATTATTCATTTCACGGTTTAAAATTATTCCTACAATAAAATGGTCAATCTGTATGCAAATTAAAATTTTTATAGATAAAACTAGAGAAATAGAATTCGGATAATAATCTATTTCAACGTTTACCAACTTGACATGTACTTTGCTTGGACATTTTATATACAAATTGAAATTTATCGTGTTAAAAATCCTTCTAATCCAATTAATTTAAAAAAAAAAAGAAGATTATGAAAAGAAACACGTTGCAATTTTTATTTCAAATTTCTCTATAAATCTATACGATCTATACGATATTCGCGACGAGAAGAGAAGAAAGGTGATCGAAATGGAGAATTAAT